AGACGGTTGGTTAGGAAAGTAAGGTTGGCAGTATGTGGGAAGTTAACGAGAGGAAGACATCCATGCCTGGGTAAGTCCCTCTAGTCCAGGTGAAACAGAGATGTTCTGTGGTTTGCCGTATTAGGAGGAAGCCTTCAAGCCAGACAATTGGTAGCTTTGGGAATAGCCTGCCGTGCCTCTGTGAACAGTAGAGGTCACATGGCATTTAGTTCCGGTCTGCAGCACAGTGAAAGCACAGGGCTCTTTTCTTTGAACTCTTTTTGGTATTGGTGATAGAATTGAATCCTTCTCCTTATAGTTCTGGTCCTGGAAGACTAATGACAACTTGGACCTGTCTTGTTCTGCCCTTTAAAAGCCTGGAAAAAGGTTGGGGTTGTGACTCAGCAGTAGAGCACTCCCCTAGCGTGTGGGAGGCACTGGGTTCAATCCTCAGCACACATAAAAATAAATAAGTAAGTAAGTAAATAAATAAATAAAATAAAGATATTGTTTCCAGCTACAACTAAAATAAATAAAGAAAGAAAGCCTGGAAAAGAGGCAAGCAGATCAATGTCACCTGCTTTGTAACTCTGCTGAAGTTCTGCCCCCACAGAGTGCCGCAGTCTGGCTGGGCACAAATAACCAGGAGGTCATAAGCCACTTGTACATTCAAGCAGGAACGAACTTTATTCCAGAACCCAGGCGAACTCCGCGAGAACTCAACCGGAACTCCGCGAGAACTCAACCGGAACTCCGCGAGAACTCAACAGTAGCGGGCACCCGAGGCAGCAGGAGCCGCCCCTTCTAGCAAAATGCCAGGCACCATCTTGACCTGGCCCTGGCCGTGGCTCTCAACAACAGAGGACACATTATCTTTGGGAGGTTTGGCTGGGTTTTCCTTCTCCACATTTTTCTTAAATATATACTCACTCAGATACCGTTTTGAATTATAAAATTATTTTCATGACTCCTAGACTCTCCGTGACTTGCAGGAAGGGACTGTTTGAACCATTTTCTCCTGGCAGCACTTGCATAATACCTGACATCCACAGTGAAAGGTGAGTAAAGCCACCTAACCGATTCATAAGCACTTGGATGGAGGGAGAGGATGGTGACACAAGAAATCTTGAGAATCTGGGAATGCAGAAATAGAAATTAATATATATATATATATAAACAGAGTTACTGAACAACTACCATAGCTGAAATCTAGAGAAAGCACATGTATTAATCAGGGTTCTCTAGAGGAACAGAATCAACAGGAATTATAATTATAAAGGGAGGATTTCTTAGGTTGGCTTATGCAACCAGAAGCTGGATAGTCACAGTGGCCATCTGCAAGCTGCAGAGCTGGAAGAATGAGTAGCTGTGCAGTCCAAGAGGCTGAAGCCTCAGAACAAGAGGGATCAACAGTGCTACCCTAGTCCAAGACCAAAGGCTTCTGGAGAATCTGCTTTGGAAGAGTGAAGAAGCGAAGAAGAGAGGGGATCCAATATCCTCAGAGGATCACAGCAGCAATTAAGAACCTAATCAAGAAGATGGAATTTGCATATGTTGCTGCTGCCTTGTTCTTCCAATTTTTATTCCATCCAAGCTATCATCCTATTCGCCAGTGCTGCCCATGCTTCGGGAGGATCTCCATTTCAGTTGGCTATCCCACATGCCAGTCTTTCCTAGACACACCTTCACTGACACACCCATATCCCCTTAATCCTTGGCATCTGTTAATCCAATCAAGTTGACAATTCAAATTGACCATTACAGCTCACCCCTTGCCTCCTTGATCCTGTTAAGACCCTTTTCTTTCCTCTGCTTTTAAAAGCTTAGTGCATTTATAACTACACATTTATTTGTTGAACTCATACGGTGGATGGAATTCCATGAGAAACAGAAAGGATTCATACTGGAGTCTGAGGCATGAGGCACCCCAAGCTCTGCTTCGGGTCTTCCTACAGAGCTGCTACAAACCAGCGGCATGAGGAGCCCCTGGAGCCATCTGCAATGAGCCTGTGAATTCCTGTTGGCTATAAAACTTTGGCCAAGCCCCAATTGAGTCAAGAATGTTCTACATTTATACTAATATTTATGTAGGACTGTTTCTGCCTTCGAATTTGCCTTCATAGTTCATTATTATACTTACTTTGCAAACTAAATAAACAAGACATTGAGGCCCATGTCAAAGACTGTTCATAAATCATAATAAACAAAACAGGAGATGAGAAGTCTTGAACCCTCTGCCTCACAATCCACATCATTTGTGTAATTCCTAAATGCTGAGGTCTTTTATCCAGAAGGTCTGCACATCCGGGGCCCCACTGAGAGTTCCTGGAGTACCTCAGTCAAGCTGCACAAGTTACTAATTTGTGTTCCACTTTCAAGCCTTCCTATCAATGCAGAAGATTTTCAGGTGTTTGGTTCATCAGCATCATTGTCCATGATGTCTTCAAGCAAATGACTAGAGCATGTCCTGTGGCTTAAGGTCCTAACAGGAGGAATCCAAAGAGCTAAACCAGATCAATCGCTTCTGTCTTTTATTGAGAGTTAATATATAGCTTAAGAGGCCAAATCCAAATCCTAATCTTTCTTTAGGGAAGTCTAGGGCTTACCTTCTGCCAAATATACCCATGAATTCAAAGATGTACAAGGAGCAGAGCAACTTAAGGAAAAAAAAAAACACAGAATAGTTTAGGTTTTGAAATGAGGAGTAACTAGTATGAGATCAGAGAAAGATTTGAAAACCAATTTGAAAAATTAGGACAGGGTGGGGTTTAAATGTTTTCCTTGTTCACTTTTGAGGTTTAGAGAATGATTTTTGGATGGCAACTCACTATGTAATTGGTCATGAAATTAACTTAGTAGAGCATCAACCAGCACTTTCTAACAAAACAGACCAGTTTTGAAAACTGTTATACTGTATGTGTGTGGTTATGGTCATAATATAAATGGTGTTTCTCTAAAAAGATGTGAACCCCGCCTGACGGAGTGTGCATATTGTGTGGGTCTCTAGGTGGGAGAGACTTGTTCACTTTTCATGGATCTCTGTTGGGACAAGTGAGTAATATCACCTGGCCTAAACTTTTCAGCAAAAATTTTCTTCCCTCCAAAGGAGTCAATTAGTTCATTAATCAGGTAGTCCCTCTCTGCCTGTGGCCTTAGCAAGTATCTTAAAATGTTAGAGTCTCAGTTTCTCTATCTACAGAATTGGGGATACTATCAACTAATTCAAGTGTCAGGGTAATGACTGATGGTGAATAAAAGCATTTAATACTGTTCCTAGTACAGACTAAGAAACAAATATATATATATATATATATATATATATATATATATATATATTTTTTTTTTTTTTCCTTCCAGTTTTTGTTCAGGGAAAAATAGATACCTTCTGCTATTCCCCATTCCCCTCTAAAGAGACAGGGTCAGCTCTTGCAGGATGCCCAGAGTTGGGACACTGTGACATTGTCAAGTGCTTTTCTCCTACCAAATTTACAAAAGATTACACCTTGGTCAGCATAGCTCGCTCATAAAAAAAAAAAAAAAAAAAAAAAAAAAAAAAAAAAAACATCTACCAGTAGAATCTGCCAGTCGGCTCAGTTGCAAAGCAATTTTCTCCAGCTGTTAAGAGTGAGGACAGCTGTAAATCACTGAACCTATTTGCATTTGTACTCCTTTAAAAGGTGGTGGCTTTGGAAAGATAGAAGGTACCAGATATGTTACTCCAAGACAGAGGAGAAAGTGCTCTCCAGATCACTTTGTGTTGTGTTGGTAACATTCTCTCTGTGCCAGAAGAGCAGGGGCAGGGGCCAGAAGAGTTACTTCAACTCTTTTGTCTCAGAGAGTAGCCCTCAAAATCAAGATCAGAATACCTACCTCTTAGAATTGATATCTAATCATTAGCCTCACTTGGTTTTCCTTGGAAAATGAGGGGGAAATCTTACTTGAGATAGTTTAATGGTTTTGTAATGCAAAACATAAGACCAAGTAGAACACTCACAGTGTTTGTGATAGACCTCTTGGCTTTAGCATCTCAGTGACATTGACTCTATCCCTGAGCAATTTGAGATAAGCTAAGTCAGCAGCTGGGGAGACCCCAGCTGTAACTAAGCCTGATGTCCTTGCCTCCTCTAAGAGAAGGCTCATGGGGCTGAGTCCAGGAGTCCAAAAAAGAGAGAAAATATTTTCCACTACCAAGGACAGATAATCTGAGCTGTGTTAAACCCAGTCTCTCCGTGGAATTCTTACATGAACATTTCTCCCTTAGAGGTAAACCAGGGTCATTCAAAGAATGTCATAGCAACTTTATTGAGAAGAATCTTGCACTTTCAGCAATTATTTTGCTCTGGAAATAAATGCCCTCCATCGGTAGAGAGAAGCTAAGGAGGCCTGTCACAGCAGTCCTGGCATGAATCAGTGGTCAGTCCTCTGACACCACCATAATTAGTGCTCCAGTAAGGAATGTCTTCCACGTAGAAGGATTTGTACTTCTTCCCAGGATGGAGGGCAAACTATCAGAGAGAGAAAAAATAAATTCCTACTTTTAGTTTAAGAGAGGAAGCACTGATTTGTATAGAGAGTCCAAAGTTGGACATTCTCGTATTCCCAGATTTACCTTCTACATTTTGAGGGAAACTAGACAATCACTGCTATTTCCCTACTTCTGTATGAAGGCTGTCTTCCAATGAGATCCCTCTTTCCTTCAAACTAAACTCCTCAATGAGGAGCTATAGCTTTCATGTCTACTGTTGTCTAGAGTTATCATTTCCTTCTTAGTAGCCAAACTCAATTCCTTATCAATCTGTCAATCAACCTATCTTTCTATCTCTATCTCTCCCTCTCCCTCTATCTCTATGTCTACATCTTTCTCAGTCTCTGTTTGATCTCTCAGACTCTCCTTGTGCTCTTCTTTTGACCTTAGCTTCTCACTTATACAATTTTGGCTTTTTAATTAGATGACCTTACCACTTCCAACATCTCTCTAAACTGTAAAATGATGTGATAAAATATTCTATTTATGGTCCTTCTTCTACTTCTCCATTTTCCCTCCCTGGCTGATCTCTTATTTTTTTTTTTGATACCTCCCTTTTCTTCTTGCTTCCCATCTGGAGTTAAGTCCACTGGCAATTCATCTCATCAAATTTCTTCCCACGCTAGCCCCTCTTTCTGGAATGTCCAAAGAGAGCCCAAAGTTGGACATTCTTGTATTCCCAGATTTACCTTGAACATGAAAACATCCCCATCCTCTCATATTTTAAGAAATTCATCTCTCTCCATTCACATAGAGACTAGAATTCAAACTCACCCCTTGAGACTCCAATCAAAGATTATGACATTTTAAAGCTTTAATCAAAAGGTTGATCCTTATGCCATATGAGGGAAAGAAAATATATTCTTAAATAACATAAAAACTCTAAAAGAATTTTAGAATCTAAAAAAGAATCTAAAAAGGTCCTTGAAGAAGTACATCAAGTAAGCAAAAATGAATCTGAGCCATACTTCAAGAAAGAAGACATGATATAGCGGAATCAGTGATAAGTTCAAACAAGGAAAACTTTTAATAATCCTAAACAATTACTAATAAGGTCTGTGAAATTGACAGCTATTGTTAGGAAGAAATTTTCAAATAGGATAATGGGAAAGATAAGACAAAGTTACAATAGTAATAATAGCAACTTAAAGCTAAATATCAAATTATTTCATCAAAACATGAATGATGTTTTGGTGTGGCTAGCCATGGAGAGAGGTTAAAACAGGCAGGAATCTTATCTTGTTCAAAAAAGGAAGGCTGTTAATATTATAATTCTTCATTTTAATAGGTAATTCAAACATGTCTGTTAAATATTTAAGCATAACTATTACTAAAATATGCATGAGATATATAGTTTCCAAATAAGGAAGAAAAGAAAAGAAGAAACATAAAATGTCTATAAGCAAAGAGAAACTAGGAGAGGAAATTAAATTTAAAAACATAAAATGCATAAATAAAATAATATGTTCTAGAAAGGACCAAACAGATCAGGAGGTGTAATGAGCATGAATAAATATTATTTATCTATTAAAACAAATGATATTATTCAGATTAAAAAATAATTATTCTTTTCAAAGGAAGCAACAGAGTGACACAGAAAGATTAAAAATAAAATATGAAAAAGATCAAGAAAATGAAATAAAAAGAAATTAGAAATAATAGCAGTAACACCAGCTCTATAAAAATGTAAAAAGCATTGCCAATAGCCCATGTATAAAGAAATGCAAATGGCCAGCAAACATGAAAACATCCTCATCCTCTCATGTTTTAAGAAATTCAAAACAAAGTGATAAAAAGATGCAATTTTCCATATATCAGATTGGCAAAGATATGAATGCTTCATAATATCCATCATTTGCCAGTAGGGAAACAGATCCACTTAAACATTTTGGCGACTACAAACTGAAACAAAATTTTTGGAGAGCAGTTTGGCAGTAGCTTCAAAATGTTTTTATATGTACACTTTGATCCCGCCATTTTATTTCTAGGAATTCATCCTACAGATAAAATTACACAATGGTACAAAGATATATTTGCAAGGATATTCTTTACTGCATTTTATATGAGCAAAAACCAAAAAAAAAAAATCCATGTTCATCAACAGTGATCAAATGAGATACATTTTGTATATCCCCACAGTAAAATCTTAGAAAATACTTTAAAAGAATGGATTATGTCATGTATACTGATATAGAAAAATATCTATGATACAGATGGAGTGAAAACAGTTGCTTATGAAAATACATTTATATTATGATCCATTTGTAATTTTCACAGCAAAATATAGATTCCATCAGTTACACCACTGTATCTCCCATCAATTAGGAAATCATATCTGGTTTGTTTTTTCAATCATCATTCTTCGATGCCCTGCCACTATAAAATCTAGTATGTTCCGAAGCTCCTCACCTTCAGCTTTACACCATAACAGAATGAGGGGTGGGGTGGTTGGTGTTCCTCCTGGAGCCTACTTCCAGAATAAGAGGCTGGAACATCTGGGCCTCATCAGCATCAGCACTTTTGATTCTGCCACAGGGCATTTCTTTTAAATGTGTATTCTTACACAGTCTGGAGGTCATTGTCCACTGCTATTTATGCCCTCCTTGGTTCAGATGTCCCAAGTCTGCAGAAGTGGCTACGTCATCCCCCAAGACTGTGGATCCATTAGTCCCACCCACACACTCACCTCATCTCCGCAAATCACATCATGTGCCAAAGAAGAGTTGCAGGGTTTCCAGACTCGTCCCCACCCACTTCTGCAGCCTGCTCTCTGCTGTGGAGAGCCCATGGCCAGTCCAGAGGACATCCCACAGGGCGCCTTCTTCCCATGAGCCCCTCCACGGTTCCCACTGGGTCATGTTATTAAAGCAGCTGTAACATCAGACTATGAAACGCAGGGATCAGAAGTCTGGTCTTCCTCTCATGTTTTAATTTAATATTTCTCACCAACACTTTGAAAAGCTTTCTACCAGGGCGAGGGGTACTTACCTTTGCATAACTGAAGTTGTCCACCTTATGAAGTTTCCGTTAATGATAGTGAATCTTCAAAATGTCATGTTGTGCTTCATTCTAGACAGAAGAAGCAGGCACACATACACATGTGCACATTCACACCTTCCTATGAACATGGATGTATTTCTTGACTCTATCCAGTTCTGTTTTAAACAGTTGATTTCTTCTATAATAGGTTGTTATGTTATATACTATTGATTTACACTATGACAATACCATGTTGCTATAATTATTATATAATAATAATGTTATACTATATAAAATACATATGATGTATTATATAATATAATGTATAATAACATACAATGTATAATAATTATATTATCCTATAATGATAGGATATATTCATATATTTGTTGATTTCAAGTATTCTTGCCTATTTTGTCCATTTTTATCTTGTGAAACCTTAAAATCTGCTCACCAAGACTAATAAAATACTCTGTTGGAAATTTTAACTTGGTATTCCACCAAATTGTTTAAATAATTTTGCAATAATCGGCATCTTTACAATATTGAATCATTGTCTCCAGGAAGTGATGTGTGTCTGTCTTTATTCTATTATTTTAATATAGATTGTGTGACTTCCTCTTCAGTATATCAGAGTTCTGTTACTATTAGGAATGGAACTATTTACTCTGTTACTTTTACTAACTGGCTATAAATACAGATTAGGAAAGCTGTTGATATTGCAAGCAGTCATTTTACTATTCTTTATTCTTACAGTTTTATATTTGACTTTCTTCATTTTCATGTATTGTTCTATTTCCAGGGAAAATGTGCGTCACTGCCTATAACTCTTACTTAATTATTCACATCTTCCCATATTGGCTGTAATATCCAACAAATGTTAAATGGTATTGGTCATAGTGCGCATTCTTGTCTTATTCCTGTTGCCATTAGAAATGCAATCATCTCTGAGTAAATTGTGGCTTCCCTGCCTTCTGTCCTTCTGGGCTCCCATAATTAGGGGCCCGCAGATTTAATTAGGGGCCCACAGATTGCTAGTTTTGATGCAACTGCTCAAGACAAGGGCCAGGAGTGTGTCAGGCTCTTTCTGGCTGTGCATCACCCTGTTAGGATTTTCCTTTACTTCTTACTTGCAAAATGGTGCTTTCTTACAACCAAGACACACAGACGAAGGGCAGGTGAGGACTGTCTGTTGCCTCCTTCCATCCAAAAAAGGAAAGAAGCTCTCTCAGAACGCAAGAGACTTTCCCATATAACTAAGGGAACAGAACTCCATCCCCTGATCTCCTCCCGCAGCAGGGGAAGCTGGGGAAACAGGCACTTCACCAGGTGCATTGGCGCCCAGAAAGAGCATTGACATTTTGTTCATAAGGAAGAAACAGACATGATAATGAACAGACAGCTCACAGTGTTACCACACTGACTTTCCAGGGGAGGTGTCTAGAGTTTCCCTAATTGTGAGGATATGTGCTGTAATTTTCTGATTCAGGATTTTATCAGCCTGAGGAAGCATTTTCTATTTTTGGCTTGATGAATTAAATCAGCAATGAATGTTAAATGCCATCAAAACCTTTGTGGCACCTACTGAGAAGATATTGTAACGTGGTTTGTTTTTTCAATTAATATGTTAATTTAGAATAATAGATTCCAATTGTTGAATTATTCTTGCAATCCTGGGAGAAGCCATGTTTGGAATGTGATTATTCTGCCAATCCATTACTGTATTTAATTTGAAAATACCATATTCAGATTTTTTTATATTGATCTTAATGAGTGAAATTGATCTATGGTTTTCTTTATGCCATTCTTTTCTAGTTATTTTCATAAAGATTTTGTAGCCACGTAGAACGAGTGAAGAAACATCTTTTTTTTTCTCTATTTGAATAATTTAAATGAACAATGTGTCCCTTGAAGATTTGGTAGTTCTTTCTTACCATAACTTAAGCCAAGGGTTGCCTTACGTCGGAGGTCCGCAGTTCTGTTTTCGTTTCTCCCTTGATTCTTGGTGTCTTCAGATTTTCTGCCTTTTATTGAAAGTGTGGTTGTTGGTCTAGCTGGTTGAGTGATCTGCTTCATCTTCCATGTCTTGTTCTAACATATGTATATTATTAAGAACTTGACCTGGAGTATTACTTTGTTAGTTTTGATATTTCGATCATCTATTCCTTCTTTCCCAAATCGATTACCATTTTAATGTTGATTTCTTCTTTAAGTTATATTATTTCTTTTTTAAGTTTTCTTCTTCTTCTTCTGTTCAACTGAATAATACAGGGCATTTTTTCTTTTTCCTATGTCACCAGTTGGTGTTGGTGTTGCCAGTAGTGGTATTTATTACTTGGTACTACCTAGTACTCAGTCAGCCTCTGCTAGGTGGGTCCCAGTGGCATGGGCCTGTCATATTCAGAACATATGTGCCCATGTGATGTAGACTTTACCAAGTTCATGCTCCTATCTCCGATTTTAAAGGTTAAAAGAGATATGCCAAAATGTAGAGAGCTGGGAAGTGGTGTAGAAAGTGCCGAGGTAAGGGCAGCTATAGTGTCCAGGGGCAACGCATATCTAAGAATAATAATGCATGAAGCCACACCCAGACTAGACCTTGGCCATCCTTCCTGAGAAGGCCTTCCTTGCACCTTGCCTGGTTCTTCAGCTTACAATCAATTCTGAAGCTTCCTATTCTTATTCTGATAAACTTCTTTACTGTTTAAAAGAGTCTTAGTAAGTTCTTTTCCTTAAAATCAAGAAGTGCTTTTATTAGTAATTTATTAAATCCTTCATTAAAGCTTAAGAATATTTTCTATAAAAATTTTGCTTCATGACCAATGGAATAGAAGTCACAAAGACAAATGCACATAAATATAGTCATGTGATCTTGATAAAGGTGCCAAAAACATACATTGGAGAAAAGACAGCCTTTTCAACAAATGATACTGGGCAAACTGGATATCTGTATATAGAAGAATGAAACTGGATCCTATCTTTCACTGAGCACAAAAATAAATTCAAAGTGGGTCAAAGACCTAGGAATTAGACCAGAAACTCTGCAATTGCTACAATAAAACATAGGGTAAACATTCCAACACATCAGCGCAGGCTCACTTCATTAACAAGACCCCAAAAGTGCAAGAAATACAACCAAGAATCAGTAAGCAAGATGGCATTAAATTAAAAAGCTTCAACACAAAAAAGGAAAGAGGAATATGAAGAAAGAGCTTAAAGAATGGGAGAAAATCTTTGTCAGCTATTTTTCCGCTAGGAGATTAATATTCAGAATATATAGAGAACTCAAAAACTTAACACCAAAACCCAAAAATAACCCAACCAATAAATGGGCAAATGATCTAAACAGACTTTTCTCAAAAGAAGATATATGAATGGCTAAAAATGTATGCAAAAATGCTCAACGTCCCTAGCAATCTCAGAAATGCAAATCAAAACTACACTGACACTTCAATCATTCCAATCAGAATGGCATTCATCAAGAATACAAATAGCAATAATTGCTGGTGAGGATGTGAGAAAAAGATGCATGTTGTTGGTGGGACTGCAAATTAGTACGATCAACTTGGAAAGCAGTATGAAATTCCTCAAAAGACTAGGAATGGAGCCACCATATGACCCAGCTATCCAACTCTCCTTGATATTTATCCAAAAGAACTGAAGTCAACGTACTATAGTGATACAGATGTATTGATGTTTATAGCTGCACAATTTACAATAGCTAAGCTATGGAACCAGCCTAAGTGACCGTCAACAGATGAATGGATAAAGAAAATGTGGCATATATACACAATGGAGTATTATTTAGCCACAGTTAAAAATGAAATTTTGTCATTTGATAATAAATGGATGGAAATGAAGAACATCATGCTAAGTGAAATAAGCCAGATCTTAAAGTCAAGTGTTGGCTGCTTTTTCTCATATGTGAAAGCCAGAGAGAGGAAAAAAAATCAATCAGTCAATCAGAGAGGATCTCACCAAAACAGAAGAGAGACTAATAGAGTAGAGGAAGGAGATTCAGAAGGGGTAAGGAGAGGATGGGAGGGGAAAGTACTAAGGAACAAAAGCTACCAAATTATGCTATTACCATATACAAATATACCACGGTGAATCATAAGTATATGTATATATATACACATATGTATACACGACACAATCATAATGCACTAATTAAGATAAATGATAGAAGGGAGATCAGTAGGATAGAGCAAGTGGATGGGGAGGGAGGAGAGAGGGGAAAGGGAAGGCACTGGGGGATGAAACTCACAAATTGTGTAAATTTATGAATCTGGCATAATGAATCACACTATTATGTATAATTATAATGCACCAGTACAAAAGAGAACAATTCTGCTTCATGAAAATGTATGGAGTTTTTTTTTTAATTTGGGGCCTACAACAGATTTTATTAATAGTACATCTTTGCTTATTGTCAGTTTATTAGACACAAGAGTTCAAACATCAAATTTATTTCCTATGTAATTCAAGATTTCTACTCATTTTTGTCCTATTTGCTTTGTTAGTTTCTGAGCTAAGTGGGGTTAAGTCTTACACTCTGGTTATAAATCTGGCCAGGTCCTCACCATTTTGCTAGTGTACTCTGAAATGTTAGTGTCTGTAGGCGTTTCTCTTAAGCCAGTTCCCCCAGAGAAGAATCTTGAAGTTCCTTGCCAAGAGAGATACAAGGCCAGCTGCCAACAAGCTGGCTGAAGAGTAGCAAAAGAGGGCCAAGAATATCCCACCAGAGATGTATTTTCTCTGAATCTCTCCACATTTTGTATAATGCTTAATGCTTAACCTCTGGCCTAAGATAGGGCATCCTGATCTCACCCTAGAAAGAATCTCTCATCTTCCAAAGTGTCAGGGAAGGTAGGCATGCAGTGGACTGAGGCAGGTATGGGGTCTCACTAATCATCACACTGATTTTTTTAAAACTCTAATTTTAATCATGCCCCCTCCTCTTTCTGCCCAGGTAGCTTTTCCACAATGCTGCCATGCCAGTGACCTTGCTTCTCCCTTGCTTTCCCTAGAGTCCCGTAGGTTTTAGCCTTCTTCAATGTGCTAAACAGGAAACACTCAAACAACTGTTT